AGAATGAAAGAGAAGAGCAAGACCCGTTTCAGTCACATGACGATGTTTGCGTTCAGCACGCCCATTCTGGGAAGGGGTGTAAGGACATGACATTTGATGATGAATGCCATTTTCCTGAAGATGAGACTGAAAACGATTACTGGTGAATTCGGCTCCTCCATCACTTTGAAATATTTTTATTTTTGCCGAGAGTTGATTTTCCACAAATCGTTGGAAGCGAAGGAAAATATTAAAGAAATCAGACTTTAGTTTCATGGGGTAAAGCCATGTGAAACGCGAGTGGTCATCTATAAATAACACATAATAAATAAAATTTGCATTTGATTTAATAGGGGATGGACCCCAAATATCACAATGAATTAGGCCAAGCACAGATTTAGATCTACTATCGTTGGAAGAAAATGGCAATCGATGACTTTTTGCTAATTGACACGTGGAGCATAAAGTTGGAGTCGGAAGCAAAGAAGTAAGAGATAAATGACCCTTTTTATTTAATAAAGATATAGTAGAATGATTGACATGTCCAAGTCTAGCGTGCCATAAATCAAATGAGGCACGTAAAGATTTTTTAGCAATAACAGAAAGAAAGGCCTGATTTCCGCGTTCCAGCACATAAAGACCACCTTCTCGTTTACCGGTTGCCACTGCCTTTCCTGTTTGTTGGTTCTGTACAATAAATTGATCATTAGTAAATATAATAGTGAATGGAAAATCAGTTGTTAATTTACTAATGGATAAAAGATTTTTGGTAAGATGGGGAACAACAAGCACATCTAGCAGTTGAATATTTTGAGAGGGGGAGACACTACCAGTGTGGGTAATTGGAAGAGAGGCTCCGTTGCCTACAAGTACACGGTCCTTACCAGAATAAGGTTCTGATGTGTCCAGTTTACCCAAGTAAGGGGTCATATGTGCCAAGGCACCGGTGTCCATGTACCAATCAGATTCGGCTTCAGTTGAAAGAGAGCAAGCAGTAGTAAATGCTTCGGCAAGTTGAGCATCAGCTTGATCATAGCGATTTCGACAACGATCAGCGGTATGGCCCTCGATTTTGCATATCTGACAACGGGGATTGTATTGACGGCGGCCTCGACTAGGTCCACTGTTTCGCTGGTATCCACCACGACCACGAAACTGTTTGGAGTGACCACCACCGCGAGAGTTGGAAGAGGAACCATAGGTAGCGATGAACGCAGCAGGGGCAATAGAGGATTGCTCGAGAGATTTTTGGAAAATTGCAAAACTTTCAGCCTTAGAAACCAGATCAGTGAAAGGGGGAAGGGGTGTAAGCGACATTTGGGTTGTAGAAAAGGTGGAGAAATCAGCACCTAGCCCCCGAAGAAACCAATGAGATTTGTCTGTATCATCAACAGGACGACCCATTGCCGATAGCTGATCACATAATGCTTTGAAGGAGCGAGAATATTCGGAAACGCTGCGGGTTCCTCGTTTGATTAATTGCAACTCATCTTTGAGATGAAGTTCACGTGTCTTGGAACGATGGCTGAAAGAATTTTCCAAAGCAAGCCAAACGTCTCTGGCAGTAGTGA